CTCTGCTGTTTATCTACATACATTTTTCTTAATTTGAATTAGAGTTTGCTGGGGATGCAAAATTAGCTATCTGGGTAAAACCATTAAATATTTACTAGGGAAAACTTCTCCAATAGGTAGGAAAACCAAAAGGGAAAAAGACCACCACCAAAGAACTGCTTATCTGCTTTTGGTACAGGGTCTCACTCTGCAGTTTGGAGGTGGGGCCAGCACAGCCTGTGGTGCCCAAGATGCAGCCCAGTCCTTGCACTTGCCAGGCAGGCCCTTAGACTGCTGAGCTACCTCTGTGGCCCCTTATTTATCTGCTTTTGACACTTACACATTTTCTTTGTTTCTTAGTCTAGTCATAGTTTCAAGGTGTGATTAATGCATCAACTGTCTTGACTTTGCTTGGGAGCCTGTTAGAAACACCGCATTCAATTTTCATCCTATATTGAATGAGTCTAGCTAGAATTTAACCAAGATCCCTGAGATTTGTATTTATAATTAAGAGTTGCAAGGCACAAGGCCTGGCGTAAAGCTCAGTGGCACTTGCCTGGCAAGCACAAGGTACTTCGAGTTTTAGTACCAAAACAAAAGAGAAAATCCCGTAACAAGAGTTGCAAAGCAGAACTTTAGTAAACAGTGGCCAATTTTGAATCTTTGAATTTTTAGTTAATTACTCTTACACACTTTCAAGTTCTTTCCCTTCAGAATCATTGTTTCTTTTTTTTTTCATTCTGTTTCTTGTGATTGTCTTTATAGTAAATATACCATCGACAAACTGAGAAACAGAACAGATTTTAAAAACTTACAAAGCCACTCTATCATTATTTTCGCATTCTATAGGAGTCTTAAAAATTTTCAGAGGTTTTCATAAGTCTCAGAGTACCCTAAAGAAAAGATGCTGACCATACTCTGGGTAACTTGCAGTGTAAAACCTGTCATGAAAGTCCTTCTCGAAATTGCATATTAATTGTTTGACTAATAGATTGTCCATCTTTTGTTGTTGGCATTGGTATGTCTCATCCAAGATGAGAACTTATTAGGATGTCAGTTTAGTGCCTTTAAAGAAAAGGAAAAATTTTTTTTGAGACTATTTTATTTGAAATCTTTGCATTGATATGCACCAATCAAATTATTAAATAAAACTATTAACATTCCAGCTTCCATATTTGCTCCCATTATAAAAATAATTTAAATGTTTCCTTCTTTGAGTATCCTCTTCAATATTGTTTTATGCGCACTACTTGATCTACTCAGAGAACATAGTCATGGGGAAATTAGAATTTGCTAATGGCGCTTATATAATAGAAGCTATCATACAACCAGTACGTGCTTTGGAAAACAAATTTCAAAGTATAAATGAGCAAAAGAAAAATATAATTAACAAAGTTAATAATAGC